TTAAAAACTGCATATGGTTTTATCATAATTGAGGAGATTGTTTTTTTTCCAGATGCCATATATGACTGCGCATCACTGTACAGCAAGAACTACAGGATCTCTGGCGAGTACAAACTGCCAAAAGATGAGTTTCTGGGAACACCTGAGCTGAACGTAAGTTATACTTCAGTGTTGTGTAAAGCATGTATGCATTGTGCACTTTTTGGTAGAGCATGGTGAGGCATCTGCATTCTATTACATTCTGGTAAATACTTTCAGGTCTACTGTGATATGGAGACAAATGGAGGTGGTTGGACTCTGATCCAAAGGCGCAAAGTCGGCCTGACCTCATTTAACCGTGACTGGAAGCAGTACAAAAGTGGATTTGGATCCATCCGTGGAGACTTCTGGCTAGGCAATGACCACATCTTCCGTCTAACAAGGCAGCCCAGTGTGCTCAGGATTGAGATGGAGGTACATGTTGGAAAACATGGTATTCGTGTAAGCGTGGGCTGAGACACTAAAGACCAAGAAAACCATGCATAAACCATTTCATAGCCAAAAGTAAAAGGGCATAAACACAGAACCGATCTGTTCCTACGGGTACTGAGCATGAGAAAATTAATAATAAATCAAACTAACTGTTAGAGACGTTAGGGAGACCATGAGAGCCAATATTCTCAGATTCCTTCACCATCACTTTGTAAATCATGTTATATGTGTTTTCCACTGCAGGACTGGGAAGGAGAGACTCGCTATGCTCAGTATGACTTCTTCACCGTGGGTAATGAGCTAAACAGCTACAAGCTCTTCCTTGCCAACTACAGTGGGAACGCTGGCAACTCCCTGCGCTACCACAATAACACCAACTTCAGCACCAACAACAAGGACAATGACAAATGTGTTGATGACTGTGCTTCCCTGCGCAAAGGTAAATTATGACAGTAAACCCACAGATAATAACCCATGTAGTTATTTATTGTAGATGTTACAGGTAGTCTTCAATTAACATGAAGTCTATCTAACTATTTTCCCTGATCTCCTTCCAGGAGGCTACTGGTACAACTGCTGCACTGACTCAAATCTGAATGGCGTTTTTTACCGCTACGGTCAGCACTTAACAAAGAACGCAGATGGGATCACTTGGTATGGCTGGCATGGCTCCAACTACTCCCTCAAGAAAGTGGAGATGAAGGTGCGGCCAGTGGATTTTCAACCATAAGTGCTTCAGCTGTGTGTCCTGGATCAAGATCATACGCATGAATGCTGAGAGATCTCACTAAATACCTGTTCAACCAAATTGTGGCTTTCCCTTGACTGCGAAAGGAATGCAAATGTAGTTGTGTGATGGTCTGGTTAAGTTTCAGTCAGATGAATGTGTAATGTTTTTGCCGTGTTTGATTGTAAATTGTAGTTCATTTTGTGTATTTATCAGTAAAATATTTTATTTTTCAAAAGCTTTGATAGATGCTCTTTTACCACTGTCCCGTATGGGTAACTGGATTTTGATTCCTTCTCTCATTTGTCTCGAAAGCACTAGGATGTTTTTTTTTAGTTAACACAAGGCATTTATGGATAGTAGCAAGAGTCCAGAGTGGTCTGGTTCAGGAATAACTCATTGAGGACTGGTAGGAATTAATTAAAAAGGATCTTTGCGAGTTGCTGGAATGGGATCAACCACCAAAGATATTTCCTATGAATTACGCTGCATTTTATTGTAAAATTGTAACCTTTGATGATGGAAATGTGTCACTTGTAAAATGTGTACAGCTCTGTAATTATGATGTTTTATGTGATAGAAAATAAACATATTTTTTAAAAGAAACAAGGTGCATAACCTGTCTCACACAAGTCATACAACATTTTTCTTGGCTAAATAGCACAGCTTAAATGTGGCAAACTTAATGAAGGTCTAAAGGCAAACTGAGATTTTGTGTCCATTCATGTCCAATAATAGCAACATATTTGCCTTGAGCCACCGACCTCTGACTCTCAAGTCATCTCCTGACACCCTGGCCAAAGGTCCAGGGCATTTAAGCCAAAAACAGGAATGAAGACCACACACTCACTCTATTCTGCCGTCGAGTTGAATGCCTCTAGGTTTACTACCTTGAAAACAATAACACCATTTTGCTACGCTTTGGAACAACAAAGAATTCCTTAGAGCATTCAAATACCTACAGACAGGGAGCACTGCCTACACAGACTCAGTGGTAGGCTGAGTGAAATTCTCTTCCTTTTACGAGAAGACACATTCAGTCAGGGTAAACATCTAATTAAAGCTGGAAATTATCTTAAACCTTTAAAAGAAAATGACCACAGTGGAATGAGCTCTTTCTTTCCTAAGGTTTTAAAAGTATTCAAACTTGTTACCAACAACAAAAGCAGACCTCAAACAGTGGTGCAGAAGTGCAACTATATGAGGTCAATTACTTTTAAAGGTACAACACGATCCTGACTAGGATGCCTAACGTAGGAAACTCAACTGCTGCAAATAGAATTTATTGCTTTCTTCTTGAGAGTTACACTTCAGTAAATACGGTTACCAAAAGTTGTAATTATTTGATAAGCATGTTGTGTAAAGGTTCCTTCGGCAGGTATTACACCCAAAAAATCACAGAAACTACAGTGTAAATATGAATTGTACTATCCAGAGGTTGTCAAATGGCTTTGTTAAGCCTGGGCGAACACATTAGGTGTTTTTAAACCTGAGAGACTTTTTCATATTTCTAAGAACCCCACTCCTTGTTGTGTTTGCACAATAACAACTAACTACAATCGTCATTCTTAGAACAGCATTTTGAAGGACTTTTTAAAGCTCCTATTTCAGGGTAGGTACTATCCCAGCACTTAAGCAACCATGAGTGACGCAAGTATACTCTGACTGGTCCAGATGTGAGTCTACCTTGATTGGCTGAACACAGCCAAAGTTATGGATTCAACTGTAAGCTACATTTTGTGATGTTGTTAAACTGAATTGCATTATATTGTCTTCCTGCTTTTTACATTTATATAAACCTTTATTTCTATTCAATTTTATTTTTTAAAGCCAAACACAAATCACAATTTGCCTCAGAGGGTTTTATGGCATACAACATCCCTCTGTCCCTTTGACCCTCACAGCAGATTGATAAAATCTTTAGAAGTATACTTATAAGGTGTATGAGGTGTTCCTTTTCTCAGACAGGTGTAACCCACACTTCTGATGCAGTCATAACAAAAGTAGAAAATCCTAAGTTTAAGAATCATGTGGATATTGGATTGCGTTATATTGTACAAGTGTTCCAGCCTCTGTGTCGACCCCCCTTCTATTCATACATTGAGTCCATTTTAGAAGTTGAGAAGTAAACTAAAATAATGTACACAGGCCACTGGGATAGCTAGGATAAGATGAGATTTCGCTTAACAGTTTGCAGACCTCTCTACATCTGAACATACTAAACTTTATTTAAAATTCCATTTCCAAGCATTTCCATAGTGGTCCGTAACATTATGGCTACACCTTTATTATCAACACATGGTCCAGATGCAACAATACCCAGCTCCAGTCGCTATAGTAGTGATGGAACCACCAAACTTAAAAGTTACTCAAATGAAGCCGCACTTTACTACTGTCATCCCAACATTACATTTGAATAGAGATTGTCAAATTCAACAAAATATCAGAAAAACAGAAGCAAATGGCTACTCCAAGTTAATCTAAAGACCACATGTATGATGTACCAATAACACCATAGGCCAAATGCTCAATTAACTATGTTCCTCTGCTGTTGGGAAATATGGGGAAAATGTGACCAATTTCCTGGCTCTATCCAAAGCTATGGGGCCTGAGAATATCGTCAGACCACAAACTAATTATTTTGATTTTCTTAAAATTCCTCACACTTTATTTATATCAGTTACAACTCATAAAGGGTGTACTATAATGAGTATGTCACCTAATCAGACTGAATACCCTGAATTTCAACTGAAGAGCCATAAAAGAGAATTCCAAAAACAATCCCTGAAATAATCCCAAACTCATCTAAAAACATCATGACTCATCAAGAACTAAAATAGCAGTGACGATGCCTCCTCGTCATCATAAAGTGTTCATCAGATATGAACTTTTTTTTTTCTTTAAATACAGCAGCCACTCAGTACAGCCAGGTTTACGTAGTGCTTTTGCACATCGGCCTCTAGATCTTTTATGGGAAATCCTGGAGAGGTGAGAACCAGATGGGGATATTGAAAACACCAGAGTGCCGGCTCCCATCATTCATCATCATCAAGGCTCCTGAGAAATTGAAAACAGGCCCCCGAGAAACACAAGTCCAGACACTCTTAGATGAAAAGGAGGCAAGCGTCCAATTAGATGCCTGGAAAACAGATTTCTCCATGCCATGCCAAAGGCACAGAAATAAAGAAGGATGAGAAAAAGGGATGGAAAAGATGACAGACGATATCAAAGACTTATGGGACAGAAGAATATGTGTAATGTATTTTTTCTGTGTATTTATTTGAATAAAAATTGACTTTGAGAGAATAGTTTAATGTTTGTCTGTAAGAAATAACTTCTAATGCAGTAACTGTTAATCACAGAGGCACCTGTCAAACCTAGTTTCTGTGACGAGGATGACTCAACTCCGGCAGGAAAAGACCTCCCACCAACACTGACTCATGTTATAGTCTCAATGTTACCAAGAAACTGTTTGTCACAGGAAGTTCTAACTTTGAAGAAGCTACATATTATAGCTATGTAAGAAGCTACATATTCCTTTGGCTCTACTATAGCTTCAGTTGAAAAATTGTTACTTGGAGCAAAGGAGAAATACATAACCTAACAGTAAGTTATTATCTCTGTTATTTCTATGTTATTCTTGGTTTACCCTATCAAGAAAAAAATGTGAGCTTGCTATTTTCAGTCAAATACTGTAATGAAGAAACACAGAGTTCAATTTCTCACAATTAGTAAAAGCCATGCATTGTTTTCATTAAAAAAGAAGAAAAAACAAAGCTTCTGAGGTTTTCAGACCACCTACCTGATAAGAGACTCCAGGATGAGAGGAGAAGGCCCTTTCTGAAACTCCAGCTCTTTGTAGTGCAGAGCTTTGGCGTAGGCACGACACTTGGCAGCTCTCTCACCAAGCAGCACAATGCCATTATCATCTCTGAGAGGCAGAGGTCCCTGAAAAAAGTAAAGTAATTGAATAAAATAACCAAAGTTGTTTCCTTAATAAAATGAATCTTTAATTTACAGCTGTCAGTCTGTGACCTCTTCTATCCTCTATCAGCAATTTGTAGGCTTTGCATCATCAAGAACTTATTATTCTGCTAAAGTCTCAAAGACTTATTTACCATATAACACAATTACTGTGAATGACTGAAATAATTAAGCTCATGTGCAAAAGGGTGTCTGGTGGCCTACAGAAAACATCTTACGTCCTTCTTTCCACTGGCTCAATACAGGACACTTTATATGTGTTTGTCTGCAGCCTCACAGCAGGGGTATCCCCGCTGAAATGCTATATTGTGACCGAGCCACGATGGTCTCTGCCCTGAACGTAACAGTATCGCCAATAATTAGCTCAACATGTGTGGTCAAACAGTGGACTTAAGTTAACGGGCCATCTTTAAAGGCTTTTTCTGTTAACTTTTTGGTAGTCTTGACACATCTGTTGAACAAATATTGCTGTGGTTTTTAAGTGTTATCTCCTACATTCCTGTTCCTATTTATATCACAATAGTCTGGCTTCCATCCAAATGTAGCACAAATTTTTACCAAATTTTCAGTAAACTGGGAAAAGAAAAGGTGCATTGATGGGCTTCTGATGTGTGGAGAGCACCATGGACCATGGAAATAGATATTTTTGGGCAACTCATATTATAGCTCTGTACTTCTGAAAAGAATTCTGGTAACAGCCCTGAGTTCATAAATGTGTTAAAAGCCATCCAGAGATGTCAAAAAGAGCTTACATTGGCTTCCGCAAAGACAGTGCATTTCCACCACCCCCTAGCGTAAAAGAATTTTTGCAATACTTGAATTGAGTTTTTTCAAATTTTTGGCATTTCCACTCAGATTTCTTGATGTGCAAATTGAAAATGTGCATAAATGCATCTTGTGATAGCTTTTAATTAACTGTTATGAAGTACAACATACTGCAGTTGGGGCAAACATCAAACCTACAACACAAAATCCATCTTAACACCTTTGTATTGAAAACCACATGGATTGCACCCACATCACCGTTCCTGTGACGTAGGTATCCTGACTCCGGTAAACTGTAACATAGGTGTGTCCATAAAATATGAGGGCAAAGTAAATATTTGGGTGGTTTCTCTTATTGGCATTACAAATCTATTAGTTGCCTCTATGCACGTTCCATTATTTGAGATCATAAACTTTGCCTTGCACCTGGTTCACCATGTAAATTTTCCGGTAGATGCATAAATTCAAACACCGAATGTGTTCACGTCCAACTAAATGTAAAGAAAGATTGATGACAAAGAAAGACATAAAATTAACAGAGCAAAATTTACCATCATTTGTGTTTCCACAAGGACAACATTAAAACAGATGATGTTTGAACCGATCTATTTAAGCGCAGCCTATTTTCAAATGGCATTTCAATATCATGTAGTGGATGTAATGTCATGCACATCCCTTTGGCATTTACTTTTTGCTCCACAAAGGGGCTGGACCGCCTGTTTCATAAAAAGCTCAAAAATGGACATGCTATAGTTGAGTCACTGGTAACAGAGAAAAGCATCTAACCCTCTCAGATTTATGATGGGTGGTTTGAGATGAAACTCTATGAGGCATGAAAAGCTTCATTTATCACCCCTCTAAATGCACTGCCAAATATCAAACATTGAATTTAGGAGGACTTTAATTTGGAAAATTCAACAAGATATAGACCTGCAAGCCCCCTAATAAAATTTGACGTGTGCTTCAGTCTAAACTGTATCACAGTGATTCTGTGGTTTAATGCAGCTGCTGCAGTTCGATGCTGACCTTGTCACTGTGCTCCATGAACTCTGCCAGGTTTAGCAGAGTCTGTGTAACCTCAGCGATGTCCTGGGAGGTGAGAGCCAACTCGATGCTGCGGATGAGCTCATCCTGCTGGTCCTCACTCAGCTCAGACCAACAAGACAGGAAGGCTGCATTGAACAGGTCCCTGTGGAGCACAGAAACAGTATTTACACATTAAAACAAAGATACACATGTGACACATTTCAATTGATTTTGATATTTCACAGAAGCAGGCTTTAACTGAATTTGGGAGAGCAGCACATCAATCAGTGGCAAGATTAGTTTATAACTTGTAAGAATCACTGTATATGCAGGTACATTGTTGTTTTATAGCTTTGACTACAGAGCACAAGGATTTTTCAGTGACAACCTGCATTACATCTACAGTAATGCACAGTCACATCTGGAAAGCAGCTCTGCATTGAGCAGATCCACAACAACAGTTTCACTGCTTTTCTCAGTGGTGCCTGTCCGAACCCCTCAGTTTTCCTAACACTAGTAGAAGTGCTAAGTAAAAAGACAGCTTCAAATTCTTTTATGTCTCTCCTATGGCAATTATGTAAATGTTTTCAGTGGTTATGGTCTATTATGGATGTGGAAAATTAAAGGAGCTGAACGAATCATTCAGCGCATTAATATAGCAGCAAACAACTATCTGCTATGTGAAGATACAGTGAAGTAATGGCATCCTAAGCAGAGAATGAAGTCACGCTAACGCTGTGTTGTAATCCAAGTTTCTCTGTGGATTGTTGTGGAAACCGCGCCAGCTGCACATGCATGTTACTGCATGTGAGTCCCTGTGTGTGTATCCCACTGGCTAGCTCATCACCGTCACTCTGCACTGTGCTCAACTGGCTGTTACTGCTGATGCTGGGATAGCGTATGGCAGCCAACAGTGTTAGCTCTGTCAGCACTTTTGCTGTTGATAGTGCAGTTTACTGAGTTAGCTGTTAGCTTGTAGCCGCCAGCTCAACCCCCTGCATGTTGAGAACTGTGTGCACATGATCCTGCTCCAGAATCTGAATATCACTAACAGCTCCTTTAAAGAACTTTTATAAGGCAGAAATAAAGAAGGAATAGACGACAAGGAAGTGAGATACAGAGGTTGACCTTAAGGAAGTAGCCTACCTGGCAAGAGGAATGTAGGTTTGGGCCAGTGACCAGCATGATCGTAAGGCTGGGGAGGACGACTCCTTGAGCAGGACGACACTCAAGCGCCTGAGCCACTCCAGCCAATCATCTTTGGACACCTTCCTGGCAGCACCCCAAGCCTGTGAAGAGACAGACATCATCCATCTCAGAATGGACTGGGAACTACGTGGGAGAAACTCAGTTTCTCCAGACCTAAGTGTCACAGGTAATGTGTGTGGGATGATCTGGAGGAGATGCACTCGTAAATCTTTTGCTGATAGTCATGAAAAAATGGAACTGCATTCCTCCATAGGATTGCCTCATTTGCTTCTTTGATGATGGTGGTGGAGAATGCTGTGCAACACGTCCATCTACACAAGTCAATCTCCCATGGGTATTCAACTAGGTAGAGATCTGGTGTCTTTGAAGGCCGTAGCAAATAAATCACATCATTTTCATATTTCACACCACTCTGTGACCACTCTGTGACCCCTTGTGCCCTGAATGTAAGCATCTCCATCCACTGTTTTCTCTGCTTATTTGTGCAGGTTTTTCAAATGGTCTGTTCTGTCTTCAATACAAGTAAACTGTGGGCTTTTTCACAGGACTGTTTACTATACACAATCACAATACCGACTGTTAACAATTATGGCAGTGAAACAAACACTAGATTTGTTTTGTTACGTTTCACTATGAACGTGTGATTTAAAAGAACAGTTTTAAAAGTAAAATAACAATTATCCCTTCTGACCTTCTGAAGTGCTGTAGTGCTGACATGAAGCTTCTTCATAGGCCCCGCCTCCACCGGTCCGCTGACCAGAGTGTCACCTTGGTTACTGCGAAGCTGGCGATGTTGGAAGATTAGAGGGTCCTCTTCCTCCTCAGCTAGAGTATAGCCCTGTAATGACCACAAACACACACAGGCCACACACGCACACAGCCCACCCACAGACAAATTCTTGAGTCAAGCCTCAAAACATGTTTTATAAATGTAGAGGTGCATTTCCTTCCTGACGGATAATTGTTGATAAACAGAGCAATGCAATGACTTTCTCATGATGCATTGTATCAAAACAAAAGTTTTGTTTGTTTGTGATTATGTAACTTATAGCTTGACAATGTGTCATGAATGGTTATAATGTTTGGGTCTGACTGGGCAAGAGGCAAAGAACAGTGACTACAGGAGGCATGTTGAAAATGTGCTCAGTGTTTTTGAGAAAACCTGTATATACTTGGGGGACTCACCTTAACAATGCGACATATGAGTATGTCATAACGCTGGTGGTTGATCCTGTGCTTCAGCATCACCTTGTTTACCATGGGAATGAAGATCTGGTACTGAAAATAAAGGGAAAGGGAAGTAGAGTTAATAAAAGGATGTGTGAGTGCTTTATGTGGTTTAGTCTGGCCACCTTTTTCCCCACGCTAGAAGCCAAAAAACTGAGTATCCGGCACTTGTCTCTAACCACCAAGAGTCTCACATCAAAAGTTTTCCCTGCACGTTTGTTGCCAGACGAGGCTGCACGTGGGCTGGTGGTTCTGAGGTTAGGCCTGAAAACGATAGGAGGATTTTGGAATGAGGGAGGAGACGGCATGGGAGGAGAAGGAGGGGTAAATGTGACCTCATCCACTCTCATAAACACCACCCCCTGCCGCCAAACGGTCAATGACATCAGCAGTCTGGCAGGAAGTAATAAAGACTATGGGGGGGTGGAGGGGTTACCGAAATGCTGTTCATGTGAAGCCAGCAGCAGGGAGGCTGAAAGTAGCCTTTTGAAAAATAGCTACATCTAAAAGGAGCCCTGGGGAGAGTCAGAGCTACCTTTTTTCCCAACTGGAACACTAGCGAGGACAGGGTGTCCATAGAGGTAGAGCGCAACTCAGGCGTGCTGTCAAGTGTCCGAACAATCGGGTGGATGATGCGAGAAGCATAGTCTGTGAAGTCCAGGGACTCTGTCAGCCTGTCCAGTGTCTCCAAGGCAACTCTGAGTCACACAGAGGAAAAACAGATAAAAACAAAACGCTTAGCTTCACTCAAACATTAACATGGACATAGAGTGCTTTAAAGGACTCAAAAGTGCACATAAAAGTGTTATGCTCTAAAGAATACTACCAGTGGAAACCCATTCTTCTGTGCAGTTACATTTTTTAATTTCTGTGGTGCAAGTGTATATACAATCATAATCAGACTTCGGAGATAAAACAACAATGTCATCTCAAAAAAAATCTGAAATCTAGTAAGAATGGACTTTCTTTCTACTTCTCACTAGATTCAAAACTCCAGCTACATGAGTACAGGGACAGCTATGTGGAGCACTGACTTGCGAGCCTGCAGGGGTACATCAGGGGCATCAAACAGCTTCACAATGGGAGGCAGCAGCAAGTGCAGGTAGTCATCTAGGTTGGCACCGAACAGCTGGATGGCGTTGAGCATCTGCAAAAGGAGAGCACACGCTGCTCAGTCCCACATACCGAAACACTTAGCATAAGCAGTTCATTTTAATGAGCTTGTTATGGCTAAATGGCCTTTTCTTAGGAATCCCTAAAGAAAAGCTGGAAGGTGCTGGCACACATGCTAGCCTTCCAGGAAAACTATGCATTGCTATGAATGAGTGAGTAAATGAGTGAATATCTTATCTGTATGTCACTCCACAGCGTACAGACCATAAAATATAGTAAAGGGCAAAAGAGCTGCAAATATGACATTTTTCAGGTTCAAACAGAAACACACAATGTGGGGCGTACTGCTGGGCCAGTCATTTACTATACTAAACTGTAAGGCGTATACTATGAAACCCTGATGTCCCAGGTATGAACCCCACTGGAGATCTTCAAAGCACATTTTAGCTGTTCTTTGGCAAAAATGCAAACAAATACTAAAAGAAAAAAGAAAGACACATATGGTCACATAAAACCAAAAGAAATTTATGTAAACCATAATGATATAACCATAACCATAATTATGAACAAACAGTTATACATTAAGGCCACTTTACATTCAAACAGTGATCTTATGACTTTGTCAAAATTTTAGAACTAAATTCTTAGATGATTGGTGGTATGACTAGAGTTGCAACTCACCAATTATTTTCAGTGTCGATTAATCTGTGGATTATTCTCTCAATTAATCGATCTGTTCTTTGGTCTATAAAATGATCAACTGATTTATGAATTGTTAACTACAACCCACATCTTGGCACCACTACAATACACTGACCAAACCTGAGATCAGCCATGATTGATAATACAAATTAATGACCAGCTTCTGCCTGCATTTATTTTTTCCATTTACAGCATAAAATTAAGACTGACTACGCATTCATTGCACTATCCATCATGTCGCTATCATGATGTCACACTGTTTGATACAGTTTGCAACCGAGATTTTATTAGACCCAACTTGCATAGTGTGATTAAGATTGCTGTTAATGCACATTATGTGTCACCTAACTCACTCATTACAAGATCACCTTCTAATAGGAATCTGCTGGCAGTCCTTGCCAGTTTAAATTATGCAAAATGAATCAGTGTCATCAGGATGATTGTAATTAGCAGCAGAGTTGAGATGGAAAACAAATGGTAGCATATATTATGATGATGTTTTCAGTGCAGAGGTTAAGGGGATTCTAATTGGTTGCACTGTCTGAGAGCACAGACACGTCTTAAATCATGTATTCGTATATCATCGTTTTGATTTCTAATGCATCAACACCCAACCACTTCAAAGCTGTCATGACAAAACATGAACTCATGTCTGAGTATAAAGCTATAAATGCATATAGAGATCATTAAGATTTCAGGGCTCACTGGGTGTTACGACTGCCACCTTCATCCAGTCAGCAAGCACTCAACAACAAATCTTAAAAAAAAAACGTAAAGTTAGCTCTGTGGTTGTTTTTTGAGGAAAGCTCCTGTAATTTTGTCTAATGGTCACATCATGTCGTGTTGAGCATGTGTGAGGAATGCGCATGGAGGACGGTGGTCCTAAAGGATGACGTATGTTGCAATGAACAAACCCACCCCAGCCCCCAACACACACCATGACCACTTCCGTTCTTTCCCAGCACCTCCACCCCCACGTCTAAGTTGCGCTTGGCGAGACAGCAGGAAGCTGAGGTGGAGGTGTACAAGTGTGTATGTGAGTGCTGGAGGGGGGGCTGGACAGAACAGTTCCTTGAAATGATCGAAGTATGTTTTTCTTTTCTTCTCCTTTGGAGTAGAGGGTAACCCAATTCCCAGGTCCCCCAATTCATGACCCCACTCCTGTACTAAAGATTAGGCTCCAGACCGAGGTCTGAGTTATAGACTATCCAGACGGTGGGCTGCTGGGTTATCTAATACTGCAGACTCTGAGACAAAACAGCACCAGAGGAGAGAGCACTAGATGACCGTGCTTCTTGTGATTCTGTCTTTGTGGTCTGTGCCCAAACCATGATTTAGGGCTTGAGGGAAAACCCAGACAACTACTGGCAGCAGCTGCTGAAACAAGAGAGTGTGTCAACTACAGATCTATGCTGTCTTTGAACTGCTGTATTACAAGTGAATGGCTTAGACCTGAATGGTCTTGATGGATATCTATGGAAACCACAAAAAGAAAACGGCACCCCAATAAGTCAACAGAGGGCTGTGCTCCTGTGCCTTCTGAAAGAGTGTCGAGTGATGGGAGTACTTCTAAACACACTCCAGCATGGCTGTGCTGGAAAATTAAGTTATCTACTCGAATAACAACTCAAATCTGACATATGATCCTTTCCATCTAGTTAGCGTGCGTTCTCTACCAGATTTATGACACATAACATGTCACGTTTGCTAAATTTATCAGTACAGCTGTCAAAAGTGAGCTAAATGGTCAACTTTGTCCAAAAAATATACATCAGTTCTATAACACATTATCTGGGGCCATGCTTTATTAGGACATGCTATTATTGTTTCATTTTTTTTATCAATTATGGGCAATAAACTTTAACTCTCCTCCGTGACAGCTCCCTGTGTGAAGTGTATCAGTACTCTTTGCTCTTTTCCTTACATCTTTCTGATGCAAAGGATTTGTCCTGCTTGGAGAATACTTACAGTACAGTCTGGCTGAAATCCGCATGACGAAATTTATTCCTATTATTCCCATATTCCATTCCCGGCCAAAAGCCGTGGGAACGGGAAATAGCGTGTGTTGGGTTGTGAAAATAAACTGCTGGAGCATGCTACCAACAGCGGTTCACAAATTTGTTCTGTGTCAAAAAAGAAAAAGGTGTAATTTATTAACCCCTCTTGGAGAAATTCAATTGCTTCACTCCTTTGTTACAAACACAGGCCCAAAATGCACACGAGCACACACAGGACTGACAGAAGTGCACTTTTTTGTTTTGGAGAGATTTCAGAGTGATGAGGCTGCCACATATTTAGGCACTCTGAGAAGTTAGGGGTTTGGTGCCATGCTCTACAGTGCCAAATATATTGAACTATGCGCAAAGTGCATACAGTGCACATCGAATGAATGTGAAGCAAATTTCTGTCTAACTGGCGATTAGACTGGTACCCAGTTGCGTGCAAACAAGATTGTTTAAAGTCAGTATTACTCGCCGCACACTGTCTGTATCCCAGACCTGTATCCTAACCTGCATGCTGAATATAACACAGTGAAATATTTTAGACCCTGCATTATTAAGATCCATGTTTGCTAGCGAGCAATCTTCTTCCTTTCCTTTACTGGTGCATTGAGAATGTTTCTTGGTGCATTACTGCTACAAACTGCTGAAAGCGTTAGACTGCATTCACACCAAATCCAGCACATGTCACTTAAATGCCCTATTTGTGGGGGAATGGAGGGTGGAGAGAAAGTCAGTTTCCCCCATCTCAGCAACTGAGTATTTGACTTCATTAAGCTTGTTTATGCTGACTTAAAAGATCTGTAGAATTCCTTTTCATTATCATTACTGTAGTATCTATACTTCGACAAAAGAAACATGCGGGCACAGAGTTAATGCCAGTGCTTTTTAGGATAGTACACATGAGCTACATACTTTATTTCTTTAATTCAATATAATATTTCATAATAAAAAAGAGACTGTATTACTTCTGCCTGTGGACTGCGAGCGCCTTTCCAGCCGGTAATGTCATTAGCCACCCTAAGTCATGTCATGTTGCTCACAAGAGTGCTCGTGGTCAAAAACTCCACAGGGTACCTTTAAATCTCATTCATCAAACTTTAGCTTTTTTTTTTGATTGAATGACAGGATGATTGATTAGTTAGAGAGATCAGATTATCAAAAGTAATGAAGCTACTTGCTACGAGTAATCAAGATCATTCTTTCAACCTTTTTACTTTCATCAGACTGTGATTCATCAGGTTAATTACCTGCTCTACATCAACAATTCTATGAGTTCGTCCTAAATAGGCAGGACTGAATAATTGTCACCCATGTCAATTGGAAAGCAAAAGTCACAAATAGTTAAAATATAGTTAAATATTGCAAGAAAAGGCAACACTAAGAAACTGACAATGACTGTACAAAATGGAAAATGTTGCATTGCTCAAGGACTTGATACTTGATGGAATATATAGGGGCGCATCGTTAAAACGCACTGAGGCCTCTCTGATGATGCACTGGGCCACAGCAGGCAGTCTGGTCTGTTTTTATTGCAAGTATTTTCAAATGACTCAATTTCTTTTTTATTTCAGCTATTGCTCTGCACTCTGCTGAATAAGCATTCATGGTAGCATTAACCTGTTTCCAAGCAATATCTTTTATATGTTAAGCCTCTGCTGAGAGTTTTAAAAGCACTTTTTTAAAGCTGTTCCAGCTCTATAACCACAATGTCAATTCCAGCCTTCCTGGATTCGTTCCTGTAACCTCCTAATTTGTAAAATCTACTATTTTTATTTTTTCAATTTAATGTTTATGTTTGTGTTTCTTCTTCCCTGATTAATTCTGTAAGTTTTGCTGCTGCAATAGCTGAACTTAAAAACAACTCCTTAATTTTTTTTACCTGATCTGTAATTCTGACATGTTAAACATCCATGTATTACAGTTAAAGGCTCCACCTGTAATCATTATGACGGCACTTTTACATTCACACACATTAATGAAAGTTTTGCGAAGTTTCTCATCTTATCATAAAATAAAAAAATGTGTTTTACAGCAAAAAAAACTTGCGAAACAATAATAGTTGTTATATAGTATTATTTTGTGCAGTAAAAGCCCTGTGAATCAATTAATAAGGCACAGCAGCTCTTCTTTAGAGCCTTTTTTTAATTCTGGTGGCTGGGATACACCACTCTGTGCACTTCAATCACAAACTGTACTTTTAAAATCATAATGAGATACACAACTTTAGCCATTTATCGGCCTTTATTCGCACAGAAGTCGTGGTGATTCAGTCATGTGAACTGCAACACGTTGCACTGACCTTGATGGTAACACTGCGCCCGGTGCTGTTGTCGTGCATGAAGACGCGCAACATATGTGGGATGAGCTGAGGCAGGTAGAGCTTGAACTCTCCACCCAGCGCCACCACAATCTGCTCGATCAGAAGGATGATGGTGTTCTGCATGGGGTTGTTTGGTGTCCAGTACTCCTACGGAACAAAACATAAGATGTTGGCATGTATCAAAAATACCATCATAAAGAATCCTGTTCTTGTCATGTTAAGAGGTCAGACTGTCTAGAGCAAGGTGTGTACAGGTATCAGACATTTAAATGTAATGCTTTTTGAGAAGATTTGAAAAGATTATTTATTAAAACAAATGTAAGTCTCATTTTCAGACAAATCATCTTTATCTTATTCTTTATATGCACTGCAGGTACGTATTAGCTCAGCTGTACCCATGTGGTCATCAATCAAAGGTGCACAGGAAGGTTTTAAGCAGGAATATGGTTCTTAAAGTGAGTTAGGTTAATCTACAGTTTGAGATTAGGAAAGTGCAAGTATAAAGTAAAAAGACAGTATTAGGTTCAGTGGTAGGTTTAAAGATTTCAGAATGTGAACTTTCACACAGAGGAGCTTGCCAAAAAGAAATTAAAAGATGGATAAATAAAATTAGATAAAATGTTGCAATTAAGACCCTGCAAGTTCAATGTAAATCTATTAAATGATTTTTAAGGCCCAATATTCATAAAATTCAATTCAAGACATCGTTTTAAGGACCTGCAGACACCCTGGTCTAGAGAATCTCTTGGTCAAAATGATCCTCAGTGTGATCTAAAAAATGCACAAACTAATAACACCTAAGTTAACAGACAGATGTGACTGTTGCAGTAAGTCATACGTTTGTCCTGAAAGAGAGTGACCTCAATTCAAGCGAGTCCAATTTCTGAATATAAATTTTTAATATTCAGAGGGTACATCCAAAGAACTTAGTACAAAACACTACCTCATCCTCCCTGCTGTCCTATAGTGTTTGTGTGGGTCTAAAATTGGGTCAAAATGTGTTTCCAGCAATGAGTTGAGTGTGACAGAGACATTTAGACAGATTTCCCTCTGGAAATACAAAGCTTTCACTTGCCAGAGGCAGAGAGGGTCACGATACTAGATGGCGAGGAATGGGGACAATTTCCTGTCCACGGGGACTGACATCACGTCTGTGTGGCTTATAACACCGTTTTGGAAAATCTAGGCATGGCCACTGTGTACATAAGAGATAATGGCAATTGGAGTCAGGGTGGAAGAATTGAAGTCACGCAATACGTCAATCAGTCAATGGGCTTCAGCTGTGAGATCTGGCCGAGGTGTTTTGTCAGTGACCAGAGATCTCAAGCAGCCCCCGACTTCCTGCTTTCCCTGCCTGTGGCAGCTGACTAGAGAGAGGGGTGAGTGTACATCCTGAATGGCTATTCCAGCCCCCTCATCTGGATGCAGGAGCTGAGCTGGAGAAAAATGAATAGATTCTTTGTTTCACTTGCAATTTATTAACTCAGAGGGACTCGAGGCGCAGTGGTTCAGTTCTCTCAATTACTTTCCTTCAGGAGGAGTTACCACCATAGAAAAAGTGCTGGTAACAGTGTTACCAAGATTCCAATACAAGGACAGTCATATGATATTTTGTGCCTTGCTATATGATTATGTGCTAGACAAGTGTGTTTGTGCAAGTGCAAGAGCTATGGCTTTAGCAGTTGGTGGGTGAATGTCAGGAATCCTCACCAGTTTTCTCTGAATTTGACAATGTGAGCTGTTAGAAAGTGTAATTCTGAACAATAAGCATTTCTAAGGCCCTGTCTACATGTATACAGATATTGTTGTGAACAGATATTTTGCCCTACGTTTAGGACTCTTGTCCACATGCAAACTGAGTTTTAGGCAAATAAAACAGAGATTTGTGAAAACACATTTTAGGGTGCAGATTTTCCAAACTTCTGGTTACTTTGTGTCTGTGTAGTAATGTAGAATGTAATGTTTGGTGAACAGTAACATAATTTCCTCAATGCACATATGCCCATTATTGCTTCATGTAATGAGCATGTGTCAGAAACAACAACAACAATGGCAGACTACTAGTTTGTTTACGCATTGTCAACACTGCTTGGTCTAATGACTACTTCACTCTTCAACCGAGTATTGCTACAAGTCCATCAGAAAAGGCAGTTTTGGATCATGCCCAGTCAAACAAGCAGATGGTGGGACAATTTCAGGAGTGGGATTGTGGTCAATGAGGAATGGAGGGAAAACATCACTCGCATGTTTGAGTGAGTTCCTTTGTCCTTATACCGAAGGGGAATCAACGTTGATCGACAGTTGCTGTTTTGAAATAGATAACATTAGCCTGTAGACTTTACTACCTTTGCAACAAGTGCAGACCGCAGAAGGCAGCTAATGCCAGCGAACGCCAGCGAACGTTTAGAGTTGTTTTTGCGTTCTAGTGTGGACGGAGGCAGATTTTTTTCTTAAATAGAGGGGGAAAATATTTCAAACATTTTTGCATTTTCAAATACATGTATATGTTTAGGAGGTCCTAAAAAGGAGAGTAAAAAGAATATTATCCAAATGACGTGAATTTCTCACTCTCCCAGACCCACAGCATCACTAATCTTGTTAATGAGTACCAAACCACACATGATGTGTACTGCTGTGTGACATGGGGCCAGACTTCATCCCTGGGCCTTCAACACATTACTCCTAATGAGGGAAGTAGAGAGCACAACTGAGTGCAATTAAGAGTTTGCAGCTGTTTGCCTGACTCACAGGAAAATAAGGGAGGCTGGATGATCAGTGTTTAGGGATTGGGATCGGTGGCAGGGGGGAGAAGGAGGGATGTTGACACAGTTACTCACTCTGATGAGGGTAAAGATGTCGTCCATGTAGGGGCGGATGTGGATCTTCACAAAACACACTACCATTCCCATCTGCTGAAAGAGGAACTAGAGAACAAAAAAAACACAGAGGAAACAAAGAGTGAGAGACTTGCTTTAAAAATAACTGACATCATTCACCAGAGGTAAACAGATAACAAATCAACCAGACAGCCTCTTTCCTCTTATTCTGTAGCGCTACCTACCTCTCGGATACTGGCGTCACAGACCCGGATGACATTGAGGAAAGTGGGCATGACCTGCGGCAGGAACTGGACACACTTGAGGCCTAGAGACTTGAAGATGAATGTGACAGCCTGGACCACCATGGTATGGTGGTTCGAGAGTGAGGGGTCTCTCAGGATGCGCATCAGAGTTACAATTGCTACAGCGGGGTAAAACTCATCCAATGGCAGGTTACCCATGTTCACTAGCATCTCACTGGTGCTGTAGTCCGCTGTAATGAAGGGAAACACAACAGTTCAGTCATTTTTGCTGCAAATGAATCGTACAACATTTGCAACTTCTCACACTCTTGAGGAAGAAATGGCTGTATGGTGTGCAATCATCTAAAAGTCGCTGCTATATTTTTTTAGAATCACTGTTAAGGGTCTCAGACTAAAACAAGAAGCACACCCTGACACAACTAGAATTACTGCCTCGTGGTTTTATGCCTCTGTGAACCAGTCAAGTTGCAGTAACAGTTTGCATTCATGTCTGTGAAAACGTGGATGTTTCACACACATCTTCCCCTCAGCAGCACAGAAGATCAATCAGCACAGTCTCAAGATTAGAGTCACCATTTAGTGTCTGACCAAATGTCTCCCCTTCTGTTCCTGAGATATGATGCAAGAAGTAATAGCCAAAAAATAATTTTGCAGAACATAATGATTCCACAGTAAATTGACCTTTTGGATATCAAATATCATCATTTCATCATTTCATCCTATTGGACATTTTTATGAAATTTTGTAATAATTAGCACATGAATTCTTGAGTAATGGCCAGAAACATGTTTTGTGAGGTCACGGTGACCTTTGACCACTAAATTCTAATCAGTTCATTCTTGAGTCCAAGTAGATGTTTGTGCCACTTCGAGGAGATTCCTCAAGGCCTTGAGATGTCGCGTTCACAAAAATGGGACAGACACCAGGCCAAAGTGACTTTGACCTTTGACCACCTAATTCTCATCATTTCATTGTTGAGTCTCAAGGCATTCGTGAGATATCACATTCACAAACCCAAAAATATAATGCCTCTCGTCATGTCTGTCGTCAAAGCGGAGGTATAGAAAATCAAACCCTAAACAGATTGCCAGTGTATCACAGTATCACAATATGTTTAAGCTGTGTCCCAAATTAGAAGCTGCTTTCTTCAAAATCTGTGGTGGTGGGGTGCTTTGATTTTTGTTGGTGGGCTAAAACTCTTATTTTGGATCACAGTTTTGGCTTTAACTTACTATGTGAAGCCAGCAATGGTGTCAGTCAGAAGCAATAAGCTTCAGACTGTAAAAAAACACTTAAGCTCAATTCTCAAGTATAAAAACTGCCCATATAAACTATTTGTGGCTTTCCAAATGTGATCATACCATCACAAGTATTGGGGCATATTTTACGACTATAAATCCATTTCCAACTATAACTTCATCAGCCCAGCCCTTGTGACTATGTAGGACAGAAGGCTATGCCGTCATGACACACAGAGACCATTAGTCAAGCAATAATTCTCCAGTGTCTAAGTTTGGGTATATCAATGTGATTTATGGCCTCTCAAACAGCCCCCCCCCTTACCATCCAAATCAACACCTCTTCCTTCCCACTAAACAGTTGAAAGGGCTTCTGGGGCTGGCTGTGGAGTTTGACAATAATAATAGGCTGATGAGAAAGGAGAGCTGATATCGTTGGCTTGTTGCTGCTGGCTGCTTGTCAGTTCTGGCACCGACCTGTGTTATAGCAATAGACAACAACTCATATAAGGGTTTTTAGAGGAAGACGAAGCTGGACTGCAGCAGCTGATGACTGTGCCCTGGTTTGTTTTGTCTTGTCTAAACCCCAAGAACAGCTATGGAACTATAACTTTGTTTGCCACCATAAGCATAGTACTGTTTCTCTTTTGAGCTGCTTTCATTCATGTTTTGGCATTATGAGGTCATGCACAATGATATGGGTTCCCACGTATTTAAGTTTCAGTCAGTCACAGTTACAAATTAAATGACATGAAGCACAGGATATGCACGAACATTATAAACAGGATATAGAGAAATACATGTTTCCTCTGTGCTACATAAATTTTACATTAATCACAGGGCAAAGGCTGAGTTCAGATTAGCAGAGAATGAAGCCCCCTCTTTAAATTAACTGAGTGCTGCATTTGCACAGTGGGAAACCAGCTAAAACCCAAAGCTGGGTCAAGACAATTCAACATCACTGCTGACTAGAACATTAAGAGTAATACTTGCTCACCTTGCAAGTGGGGTTAGGCAATTTATCAATATCTCCATATGAGACTAGATATTAGATTTAGGATATCGTAATATCATAGGTGTTTTCTCTTCCTGGTTTTACAGGCTGCATTAGAGAAAGTGATGTAATTTTCTAGACTTACCGGATTCTTCTACAGTGTAGCTGTTCTATTATTTGTCTTTAGTCCCTTAAGTCATTTTATCCAGTACTGATGACTATTTATCAAAAATGTCATTGTTTAAATATTTTGTATAAGCATCAATATTCACCCCTACAATATCAATGCAATGTCGATATTCAGGCATTTTCTCAAAAACACCCTGCCATGACAGAGTTGTAAAAATCTTGTCCCACAGTATTTTAGAAAGCTGTGGAGCATTTTGGCATCTAATAAACCTTTAAACTCATGGATATATTTACAACTCAAACCAGCCATCTTGGATCAACATCGTGTGTTTCATCTTCTCGTGGGTACCTGAAGCAACACACCCACACCAACACAGCAGGCCCTTGCTTTTCTCTCAAACTGTGCCATTTTTGGTCTGAACACCCAGTTATTCTCACTTTTACCCTAAAATTTTGGATTTTTATGTAATTGCTGCCATCTGTAGTAAGCCACTTCAGAATCACCGTTAAGTAAAGGAGAATCTACTGAGCCACATGAGGCTTCTGGCAGTCGTGCCCAAAATTAGAGAGCACAATTTTATGTATTTGTTAAAGGGGCTGTATGCAAAACTGTGCTGAGTGTAAGTCTGGACGCAGTTCTCAAATGGAACTGGTTGAGCCGGTGGCAAGCAGCTAACGGTGCTAACTCCATAAACAGTACTAAAACAACGTCAACACTGCTGACAGAGGGTGGGCGCTACGCTTCTGAAATGACGCCGACCCAACATCAGCGGTAACCTGGGTATGAGCATAGTGTAAAGTGGCAGCGATAAGCTAGCCAGTGGGATACACACATGTCAGCCAGAGTGGCTTACCACAACAAACCAAAGAGAAGATCAGATTACAACTCACACAGGCCGAAGGTAACATCATTCTCTGCTCAGGATGCCGTTACTCCACTATATCGTTACCTAGAAATCAGTGGTTTGCTGCTATAGCAGTGCTCTGAATGATGCATACAAAACTTTTAAAAGAAAGCAAGCAACAGGGGTGGTCTTTTTATAATTTATAATGCATATTTCTTTTTGAAATAAGTAATTTTATTAATGTGTTTTCTGACAGGCAATGCAAATGGGGTCAGTCTGTCCATTTCTTTTATACAGGGCTATTGAGTTTTACAAGGCATCTGAGAATACAGACGTCTGGTATTCAGCGTTTCACTGGCCTTCTGCAGGAGTACAGTTTCAGCTGCTCCAGTTGTCTCCCTAAAGGCTCTGGACTGTAGACAAAACAGATTGGCACAGAGCTTGCAGGCTAAAGAGGGTAACTTAGGATCTTTTATTATTCTGGCCTTCACCAAGTCTAGATTAATGATGGTGATGGATGGCTACACATCTGCATCTTCACAGCCCACAAACAGGCATCAGTCTAGCTAAGTGAGGCAACAGTGCTGTAGTAATTCAGGCTTCAGCTGTGTAGGCAAAAAACTGCACTGTTTTCTAGATATAATACCAGATGTAAATACAGCAAGTCACTGAGAGGGAATACGCACCATTTCATCAGTTTTATGACCCTGAAGTTCTGTAGTGACGTGATCAGTCTTGTCTGAAGTCAGGTGAGGAGACAGGCCTTGCCAATGACCTCCCACATGACAAAATACATGCTGTCGTATTCAAAGTGCTCCAGACACTGACCCTGACAAATCTGCCAACAGATATACAGCCTCCAATTCATGGTCACAGCCCATTGACTCAGAGTACAAACTGGTAAAACTATTACCGTATTGTCCAAGATCACATTTTGAGACACATGACTGGATCAGATGAGTGGGGACCTGCATTCACCATTTTTATAGTAATGAATTGTGAAGATCTCCTGAGGATGATGGCCTTTAAGTGACAGCATGACCTTTTTTTTTGCACCATCATCAGGTCAAATGTTCCATCCATTATAAGCCACATCAAAAGCTCCTGGATTACCACAAGAGTTTGTGTGGTTAGTCAACAGATGATGAATCAGTATGTCTTTGGTAAAAAAACAGGGCCTTTCCACAAGTGCTGCAATTAGGATGAACTCTCTACTGGTAAGGCTCTGAAAAGACTGAAATCAGTAGTATTTTATTTCTTTCATATTGTGGAAAGTAAAGAATTCTGCTGCTTATTGGGCTCCTGGCTCAAGACGGTTATAATTTCCCACAGATATCCTTGCTTACACTGAGTTAAAACAACCCAAGGGTGTCTATGGATATGACCCAAACAGGGCCCAAAATTAAAACCAGCCAAATTCAGGTAGGTTTTCCATTTGGCGAGTAAATCTCAGAAGGCTAACTGCCACACTGGCAGGTAAATGTTTGTGTCAAAATAGTCATGTAATAGAAAATAGGCTAAGAGTCCCACATTTTGGTGTCATTTAGGGATGTGCTGCTCTTTTGCTCCTTGGCTGCTCCTCTGCTGTCTGTGTCTCACACACACACTCTACAGATATTTTTTTATGCACGTGTAAACAATGCCGCAAAATTGACCATCTTGAGTGCCCCTTGTTTTGCAACACCGCTTACCATACAGGACATCAGATGATCATTTGCCACCAATCTGCTGTGAGTTATTGTTGTGCCCAAATTTATGAAGGTAATAAAATAATAACATTGAGGCTCCGCAGACTAAACCAAGAACGCAAACTGCCTACCACATTGTCAACAGCAGCACAATAAAGCTCCTTCCATTCTTACCTTTTACAATCAAAGCCCAAGGCATATACCCTGCATCACTGCTTACCAGAGGGAACGTATTCATACGCTGAGGTTGTGGTGATGAGTTGTATTCAACAGAATACTGTATTATCTAAATGAAATGTACTGAAAAAACTGCATATCTGACAACAAAAAACTGTACTGTATTTGTAATTAGGTATAACTAAGTACTGCAATCATGGTATTTTGAGGCTATTGTGTTTACATGGATTGTGACAACAAACATTTTGACACAACAGATTTAGACAGCACTAAAAATTCTCCACTGATGTGTGATGACGACGATGAATGGCTCGGCTTATATGGTTATACATTTAAGCATAAGCGGACTGCATCAGTATCAATTCTCATACATTAAAAAGTGAGACAAGTAATTTACAGTTACTACTTTTTTATATCTCCACTGTAATAAAAACAACACTTCAGTTATTTTGGTTACAGATCCCTCTGAACTGGCAGAAACTAATTTTAGGAAAGGTTTGGTTGGGTGTAGATCAGACAGAAGCCAGAAATTAGATCCTGAAGAACGAATACTCCAACAAATCTCAAACCCAAAGCCACAGCTGCTATTGACTTTTCAAATGCAGGGGCAAGGTCTCAAAAAATGTGTTTTGTCTTGAGTGCATAGACATATCACTTCACTGTAGAGTATTTTTAATGAGCTGAAGATAATCACAAGTGGTTTTAGTCAAACACTGGTTATGTGAGACAGATTCAGCAATTCAAATGACTGAGACTGAAATCAGTCCTTCTCTGGAGCAATCATATTCTGACCAAAGCAAATTTTGCTGCAAGATTACAAAGGTGTATTTTACTCACAGCTTGTTCCACAACACTGACTTGTAACCAAAGTAGGGGATTCTGTGTGTTCATTCATGGTCACACATGCAAATTTATGCAAAGATCTCACTTGCATGAACAGTTTCATATCTCAATTTGATTTTCCACAATTAAATATTGTTCAATTCAGTGACGCAAAAACATTGCATTTCACTATGAATAGCTGCTTTATCAAATTTATAATCAGTGACCCTCTCTCCTTTTCAAAACTGTTGCCGTGCATCACTAAAAAAATCATGAGCATGACAAAAATGGAGGCAATTCAGTCTTTCGCTGGTATCTCATAAATCCAAACACTGCACAAGAACTGACGAATCAAATTATGACCAACTGCAAATGCCTTGTTTCACATCTCAGATGCCTTTTCTGAATGACATTTACATGCTTACTCTAAAATGCTAACTGCCACTTCATAAGTTTTGTGACCTTTAAAACTGGAGTTGTTTGTTGCAATAAGTCACCTCACAGCCCATCTTTAAAAAGTGTATGATTGTGGAGGCAGATTCCATTATAACGAATGCAGAAGTCCAAGACCACAACAATAAGTCCTCTACATAAAGACAATACTATTCATGTCGCTCACACAGGCACACTGTAATCACATCAAGAACCCCAAGGCCCCCAGTGGACAGACCCACAGAGTGAGATTTTAAAAAGGGTCATATAGAATTAGAGATTTTCCAGCTGTTGCAGAATCGCAAGAGTTTAGAATTTATTACTGCTGTAACTTTGGGGAACACAAATAAAAAGTTAAACTAATCTATATTCTGACTCTTGGTGAAACACTGCTACCCAAACTGTTCCCAAAACCATGATTAGTAACAGTTGCTTACCTGAGTCCTGACTGGATTTGGACTCGGAGAGACTGACAGCAGAGGCGTCTCGCGACTGGTCAATCATGCCGATGTTCACCTTGTGCTTGTAGGGGTCCAGAGCTCCAAGAAGACCCAGTACACGGATGGCCTGTTGGACACACAGCATACACACACACACACACACACACACACACACAC